AACCAAATAGGTGTACAAAATATTTACTTGCATTGGATCCATCACGGAACAAATACGGTACAAGAATTGACCTTATTTCCTATAAGATAAAGTGTTTGCATAAAAATTGGGATCTGGCTTTCAAGGCAAGCAGGTTGTTGTTTTTTATTATGGACAAAAGTATAACTTTATCGTAATTACTGAATCAAAACACTTTTCAACAGAACCTGACTGAAGGACTCACCTGTAGTATATCCATGAGTATAGCAAACAGTCCATTGCAATGCGGAACGATGTGCTTGTTTAGTACGCGGCACAAATCACCCAGAAGACCCACAGCATTGATACAAACTTGTGTTTCACGATAGTTACGCAAGCAGAGGACAAGAATGGGCATAAATGCATCCAAATACTTGACAAAGAGCTCTCCAACAGCTTCTAGAAGTGCGGACACTGCGAGAAGTGCGTCTTCTTGAACGCCGCCGTATATTGAGTTTTTCCCACTTTCTCCGTTAACCAGGGCCTGGTCACCGGAACCCTCCGCAGCGACGTTGGTGGTTGAATGGAACATAGACATCAATGCAAGCATCACCTAAAATTACAGCATATCAAGTAGAAATAGCAGTGTGGTTGTAACTAGCAAAATTAATTTTTAAAGCAAACTTACTGATCACAGTAAAAGACTGTATTTAGACTGAGCGGACAACACAGCTTTACGCGAGATAAGTTACCACATATGAGAAAAAAGCATAATGGAAAAAAGAATGACGATGAATATAGCAGCGCAGCTTATATGCGTTTCACATGTATACCTTAGGAAACGGTAAGATGGGTCCAAGAGACGTCATGGCAATCCATAAACGGTCCTTGATTGATACGCTTTTCGATGATAATTCATAAATGATAACTTCAGTATCTTCAATCGACTCAATCATGGAAAATGACAGTGGATGGATGTTTTGAATGCGTTATAAAAATGCAAGTCGCACATTGGGCAGCGGTATATCACAACTGATATACTCATATGTAACACGTCTAAAGGCAGACTATGTGTCAAACAAATCATGATACAATGGTCTTCATAAAAAAGAAAAACGTTCCGTGATTTGCATGTGGGCAGAATACTGCCAGGTTGCTCAGGCCAAGCCAAGTAAATTTTCTTGAGGAATCCACAACTGGAGCCTTCGGCTAGCCCAAGCAAGACAGCGAGGCAATGTGCGAAAACCGCAATCCATTGGGGACCGGTGTCCAGTTCATCTTATCATACGCCCTTTGGAGGGGGTCAAACGTTCAAGGCGCCCAATACACCTTGATACCTAATTGAGCCGGTGACTACTGCCACGACCGGAAAGATGTGTGTGGTTCTTACGCCTCCTCTTGGTTGGCTTATTAGACTTAGGGCTTTTGGCCAACTCCCCCAAGTGAACTACCAGTGGTCCATCAACCCGGTTACAGCCCCGGAAATCGATTTTTCGTTCTCTCACTTTGAAGGGGAAAACCTAAGCCATGAGAAGGCAATGATAGCGTTGTGCTACAGCAAAGGGAGTCAATCGAGCAAAGAAAATATCCCTAAAGCTTCAGAATTGGTTTTTAATTACTTTAGCTGTCGTGTTCATAGGTCCTATGAATGACTAAATGAGACAACTATCCTAACAGAATTGCTCAATGATCAGCGAGTAAAGTCCGCTGCGACAGCTGCGCTGCGCGACTCTGACCGTTTCGTCGTGATTATTCACTTGAATGACAAACAAAACAGAAGGATCAGCTAACAACCTATGCTCTTGCTTCATGAACATAAACCCAATGTAGGCACACGACAAGCATACCTTATCTGATATCGCCGGAGCATCTTCTTTGTTAATCTTACGCAATACGGACTGAAGCGTGCCGCAAAGCAACGACTGCAAATCATTGAATTGAGCGCGATCTTGATTAGAAGCCAAATGATTTTCCAACCCGATGACCGACTCCAGACGCTCCAAAACGATCAAAGTAACGCGTTGAACTTCCGCGTAACAATCCTTGGTGGCGGACCGCATGAGAGCCATTAAAGCCGAGTAGGCTGCGTTGCGCAAGTTATGCTGTCCACCATCTGGTCGGCTGGAGGTTGCCAAAAGGCGTTCGGTAATTGCGTTGAAGTAATTGGATAACGCATAGGTCTTGGGTTCGCCCTGACTGTTACCAGCATCTGAAAAAGTAGCATTTTAAAACAATAAAATAGACCATTAAAAGGTTGACCGTGTTGAAATTTTGACGCTACATGCCACATACATAGCTGTCGTGAAAAACATCCGGAATGCATGTGGGATAAAGTAGTGTTGGACGCAAGTGAACTGAACTCTTCGTATTGTGATGCTTTATCAGCAAGAATAGCTTACCAGCAACGTCGTATGCACTCTCAGCCAAACTGGAGAACGCCCAACATACGTTAGCAGCCACTCGGGGTTCAGCGGACAAACCTTCCACAAGTCCATTGAGTAACGGCAAAAGATAGGTCTCTTGAAGAGCTACGTCTGGTAACGTCTCGCATACACGGCCAATGGTCCACGCAGCAGTATCACGTACGGCTGGTGATTCGTCTCTCAATAGTTCAATAATAACAGGCATAGCGGATTGAACAAGAGGCTGGAATCAAAGTTGAATGAAATAGCAAACACCAAGCGTAAATTACAAACTATTAGTGATTTATTATGGCAGCAATCACATTGCGTATCGATGACGTGAGTCACAATAAACAATAAGCATTAGTATGTGACGTGAGAAGTACGTTTGCTAGAGGAAAAACTACTTAAACCAATATGGACAACCAGAAGAATGCACACTTTGTCAAGGAGTCCGGTCTACTGAGAAAAGACTAGAACGCCAACGTTCGTTCTGACGGTAATCAGGGTCTCCACCAAAGTGGTCAGATAATACTTCTGATCTCAAGTCAAGATGAGGGATGAAAACCATGGTCTCACAGTGATCTCTCCGGTTTCTTCATCGCCTATCGTAGGTCCCACGCAAACACGTGACTTCTGGGTATCATAGAAAGTGTAAAGATTGCATGCACCAATCGTATTGGTTCACAGAATCCTTAAATTGTCCCAAAGTTGACCGTTCCAACTATTATCGAAACTTCAACATGCAAGAAAAGCTTTAGAGGATCGCACGAACACTTCACGATGACACGACTCACTTTGAGCGCAGTTGGATCTGGACCTTCAAGAATGCTACCGAAACTCATCACAGCTGCATCTCGATATCGCCAGTCAGGTTTTTTGATATTTTCATTGACAAACGGGATAACGAGTTCAACAATGGCGTCCTCACAACACTGAGCCAACAGCATGAGACAAACGCCAGCTGCCTTGCTTGGATTCCACTCATCATCATCCATAGACTCATCCTAAGAGTGAATAAAAATAAATCTCTCTAAAACTTACCTGATGGGCCAATATTTCCATTAATATCGGGGCAATGAAAACCAGCGCTCCCTTCGCATAAAACATACTAGAAATAGCTGGTGGTTGTCCCTTTTCGAAGCACTCGGCTGCATCGATTGCCAGATCGATTTCTTCGTCACAAACAGTTGACCAGAATTCTATTCCCTGTAAAGCGACCTCTGGAATGATGTCTTTCATGGCATCAAGAGTTATCTAAAGAAATGAGTTGAAGTGTAACAGTAGAATAAGTTACGAGAAAACATGAATGCAATAAATTTTTGTGACTACCACTGTACAAAGCGCAACGCATCTGGATGGAAATGTAAGAACAGTTGATGAGTTTATAACAAGGTTGTTATTTTGTTTTGCATCCATGACAGCGAACAAACGAGCTGTCCCCTTACAATTTATGGGCTCTTCTACCGAGGTGTGAATGATCAGCTCTACATTACCACATTACTTCGCCAAAAAACTACACTTGTTCATTTGAACTTTCGTCCTTTGATTTTCCAGAGAACGTTTTTGGAAGCACGTGAAGGTTCACTTCTACTTATCGGGGCTCTAGTCAATAGTCTACTTTGCGGCACCCGACTTGAAAAGTAGATAAGAATATCAATTATGTGCAAAATGATCATTACAGCTTGTACGCCCAGAGACTACAGCACCGGTGCAAAATAACCCGACCATCAGTTCACCAATCTCTTCCACGGTGGAATATATCACAAAATTGAAGCACTGGTCAGGAACAGGCGTGCATATTGGTTAGATGAAATTGCACCAAGTGACTGGCAATGTCTTGATACACGCAGTACAAATAGTAGTGGTTGCTTTACGCAAGTTTGTGCCGTCCATGATCTATTAGATCTCAGCTACCACTTTCTAGAGATCTAATTGAGAACGTGCAACCTGGTGAACCCCATGATGCGGTCACTTTTTGGCTTCAAATAACCTCACTGTCATCAGCCATCAGGAGAAACACTACACACCGGACTGCGAATCCGTTCCATGTATGCCACAAATCCGATCGTGAGCACATCTACACGCTCAGGGGGGAAATAGTAACTTCGCTCGAAAGGATGGCAACGTGTTTACCACCCCCCACACCATGTTACCAT